TAAACATTAGCAACAAGTGTCAAATAAATTTTTAAAACAATATATATAAATAAATTATAATAAAAACATTGTAATAAATTTTGATATACAAAATTTTTTGTATATTTCATGAATTACTTTTTTACTTTATGTTACTCTTTAATTAAATATATAAATTTTTAGTTAAAAATATTATGCACATGTAAATTTAATATTTTCTATCGATATGTAAAAGTTTCTTATCCGAAAATTATCTCAATAAAGAATGTTATCTTCATAAACTAAAAGAAAAAACAAAACATGTTTTAAAAGCTTTACATTATTTTAGTAATTTAGGTTCATATATTAATTATCTCTTGTCTCGTATCCATTTATGTGCTACCCCCATATCTTCAATAGGTTTTCAATTACATTTTTAATAATTTAGATTCAAAGTCCTAGCTTTATAATATATCTCTTTTATAATATATTAATTTTATCACTATTTTTTTTTATTTAAAGAAACTAATTTTATTTTAATGGAAACATGATTCATGAACGTGAGAAAAATATATTTTCATAAGATATATATTTACTTAATCTTTGGAATATTTAATACCTCGCTATTTGATTATTGTCTAACGTAAAAATAACATATATTTTATATTGGATTAAGATAGTAATTTGTGAACGTATTATTAACTTATGTTCATGTCTTACTTTTTGTTTAAATTGGTCTTTGTTATTTTGAACAATTTTTTATTTAGCCTCTTATTTTTATCAATAATTAAGAAAAATATATTTTTACAAAAATTAAATATATATTTACATGACCTTTAAATTATATGGTACTTCTCTATTCGATTGTTGTTTAAACCAAAAATAACTTATTATATTAGACTAAAATATTTAGTCCTTCAATTATTAACTTTTGTTCAAATTAGTTTATGCCTCGATTTTTAGTCATATTAGTTCATATATTTTTTAAAAAATTTCAATTTAATTATTTATTATTATCAATAGTTACTATTGTTAGGTCTGATGTCGTGTGCCAAATTTAGTGATACGTAACACTTTTTGATTGTTTCGTGTATAAATGTACGTCATATTAGATTTTACTCGAGCAAATCAGTCTACATGTAAGTATAAATTAAAATAATTAATCTACATCATAGTTTATGTATTTTACACATTTCTATTCTCTAATATTTTCATCTATAGATTTTAGATAAAATAACCAATGCATTACTTAGTCTGTGATCGCACTTCATAGGATCAATAGTCACTTTTTAAGTTTTAAAATCTCAAGGTATTAAAAAATTAAAATTTCTTCTTTTTTCGAAATTTTACTACGCGTCGGAGTTATGATGTTAACACATTAGTACAAGTGTCATTTGGTGCATATTAAATACGTGTCATATTTTGATTGGGGTCAATGTTTCATGTTAGATGTCACGTATCTGCTAGCATAATATTTGATCTATAAAAGTTAATTTTTAATTACTTTTTTATAAAAAAACTTAAAACGTAAAAGCACAAAAACAAAGAACCATAAGAAATAAAATACGTGTCATATTTTGATTGGGGTCAATGGTCCATGTTAGATGTTACGTATCTGCTAGCATAATATTTGACCTATAAAAATTAATTTTTAATTACTTTTTTATAAAAAAACTTAAAACGTAAAAGCACAAAAACAAAGAACCATAAATATTTCTTACCTCCGATCTTGTTGTTATACTCTTTTCCCAAATGGCATTGATATTTCTCTATATGTACCTTCTCTCTTCCTTAAATTCCTTTTTTACCCTCTCTGCCCCTCTCGACCAAATTTTTTCCTCCGTCGACCTCTCTTCTGGTTCTGTCTATGACACTCGTCTCTCCTCGACCATGTTGCACGTCTCTGCCTCTCCATTAAACTCTACCTCTACTTTGACCTCTGTCGACCTCCTTGAAGTAAATGTTTCTAGTTGTTGGTGTTAGGATGTTCCATTAATGTATAACGTACTAGTAAGTCTCCTTTAATGAGTAACGTAGTAAGTTAGGTAATGGGTCTCTGTAATTGCTATGAGTAAAACAGTACCTTTGTGTGCGCAAGGATTATTTACCTCTTTAATCTATTTCAGTAATTAAAACGATTAGAAAACAGATTTGCAGAAGTTTTTTCTTACTTACAGACGTAAAAATTGGTTGGATATTTCCTATCTTAGCTGGCAAGGCATGAACAGCGATGTAATACACACAATTTTTGGGTTTAAAACGGTTCTGCAGGTATGTTATTCGCATCCTCTGATGGGTAATTGCAGCTCCTAGAATGAAGGGTGCTGTAGCTTTAAGATTTTGTATAAACTTGAGTATGTAGATCCTACATAAATTTAACGTGAAAACCAGCGTTGGAAATTGAGCTTAGGCCCCTAAATTGGTCTGTTAGAAGGATATACGAACTCCGATGAATTTGGAGAATATTTTATATTAGAAAGTAGCATTTTTGGGGAGCATTTGAACCAAATAAGGGGATGGGGTCTGAAGGATGTATGATTTTAGGACAAGATGTTAGAAATAACAAAAGCCAAGCAGGTGGTAATTCAAAACTAGCCATGTAAACTGTAAGAAAATCTTGGAAAATTGCTACTTAAGTTAGGAACGGGTACCGGGCAGTGTATAGGTGAAGAATTCCATAAAAACTCACAGGAGTTAAGGGGGATGTGCACCTCAGTGTTAGGGTTAGGACGCTGTACCCAGGAATTAGGAATGAGTAATAAATCTGTATGGGAGCCAAAGAAAACAAATAAATAACCTAGAAAAGGATTCCAGGATCTAACTACAAAGATCATAATAAAATGTAACGAAAATGGGGAAATAACTGGGTTTATATTACTTGGGAAGGGTAGAAATAACCTGGGAAATGGGTTGGAAATTTAAGGAGATAGAATAAGAAAATCTGGGCATTGTTTAGAAGTTTTGGAAAAAATCCCAAGAAATATTAGATGAATGCAATGTAGAGAAAACCACAGGAAGGGTCCTTGGGTATGTGTAAGGTCCTGGAAATTCTAAAATA